ATATATATATATATATATATATATATATATATTATTGAGATATCTGTTGTCACACTTTCAAAAGGCACCCTTAAGACGGTAGGCCTCACAAAATGAAGTAAAGGAACATGAGAACTTGCTGAAAGCATATTTTGGGTAAAATGAAACAATAAATTGCAACTAATTGATTGAAATTTATAATTATCTTGATTGCACTGAAATATAACTACCCAAACTCGTCTTAATTTGACAAGCTGTCTAATTTTAATAAATTTTCTAGTCTCAAAAAAACTTTCTCAACGATCTATCAATTTTCCCAAATGAATTAACTGCTGATACTTTCCGGCGTATTGCATAATAATCTTGCGAGTGGGAGATTTTTCAAATTTCATTAAAAAACGTCAAATGTTTTTACAACCTAGATTTCTTATCACCCGAGAATTGCGATCTGTTTAAAATATTGACATTTTGCTTGCCTTCAGTGGCATGAGACGTAGGCAGAACTGTCTTGTGACTCTGTTTGCAACAGGCACGCATTCGTGCTCACTGCGTAAATCAACTCCAACGCTTTTTCTGGCCTCGGTGTGTGGGTGTTAAAGACCATAAATTAATCTCTGAGTAAGTGAGTTCTCTAGCGTTTGAATGCTGTTTAGAGCAACGATAGAGAGACCGAGAGGTAGAGAAGAGCGACACATATGTCGATAGACTATAAATTTCTCTCAAGTGGATGGATGTGATGAGAAAGCAAAATTCTGTGCAGAAAATGATTTAAATTAATTTTTTCACGACTTATACTATCTGTAACGAGGTACTAATCAACTTCCCTTTCTCCAATTGGCCAATAAGTGAGGAGACGTTTTACGACTAGAGTTTTTCAATGCAGGTAATTTACCCTAAAATAAATAAACAAAATGGTAAAGTCATGTTAGTTGCTCTTCCTTATTTTAAAGTGAAATCTTATAAGGTGTAGAACTATTTAGCACGTCTAAATCAATCCATTTTATTATTAATTCGATGAATAACTGGACTCAATTCGATCCAATTGAACAGAAATTTCTACCAATTTTACAATTTAGACAGTGGCAAAACGTGATTTTGATCTTGAAATAAGCGTTTTCTGTTTAAGATCAATTTGTAATTAGGTAATCAATAAATGATTGGGAATTCACGTTTGAGTTAAGGCTACTTATGTCATTCTTGTAAGCCCTAATTAAGCTTCTGAAACAACAATCTAAATAATCTATTGAAGGTACAAAGTGTATGAAAGGAAGCAGCAATTTGTTTCAACTTTCACTTTACACTTGTGTGCACGAATGTTTCGGACTAAATGTACGATATGATATAATTTTAGGGGCTGTGTGTTGGTTTTTGAGCTGTGCGTTTGTTTTATTCAGTCTGCTTTAGTGAGCGGAAGTAATAAACAGGAACAGAGTTCTATAAATGTGATGCTGTCAGCATTGAATCCAGCATGAGGTAAGCTTTAAAGGTAATTTGTTTAGCACACGCACTAAAAGACGCTTGGCAATGGGGTAGTTTGCGCTTTTCATTAGTGTCCTAATTTTGCTTAAATACATCGAGTCAAGTTGGTCTGGGCAGGAAATAACCATAATCACAAGTTGACACGATTTAAAAATATATTTGATGGTTTCATTCCCACCAACAGGCATTCAGCTATTATAATGTAAGGTTTTTAGACTAAAACAGCAAAAGTGGGACGGGTGAGCTCAAGGTTGGGAAAACAGAATTCATGATATTTGATTAGCTATAATTTCTCCTAACCATTTCTATGATTTTGAGAGTACCCGTTTTATTATTTTGCTTTGCCTGAAGTCACGCAATTTAATTCATCTAGTGCAATTTTTCAAGGCCGTTATAACGATTGACGTATATTTTCAGTTTCAGACACGTCAAGATGCAAGCCTGCTCATTTTTTCTTTTCTCGCTTCTGAGTGTTATTGTGCATTTGTGCTGTTATTGTATCATTAGCTATCACTGATGAGAAATCTTTCTCGTAAATTTCATATTTAACTTTCAACGATCATGCAAAGCTTGTGAACCGTAGCCGCACAACATTCTCAATTCAATTACTTTAGGGAAAACTATGAATTGAAATGTGGTACGATGTAGGTGTAAGCACTTGTGTAGTCTATTGTGGTGGTTTTAGGTGCAAGAATAAGTTGTTCTGACACCATCAACTTATTTTTAAAATAGTGCCCTCAGTGCATGAACAAAGAAGGGCTATCTCAAAGATTTTTCATGTGCTTCGACACAATTTTTACGACCAAAAAAGAACTGATCAATAATTCTTTTCAATTGTAACAAAGGAGATACGATTTTGCATAATAATAATTTTATTACTGGGAAAAGAAAGATAAAGTATTTCAGTTCAGCTTTGAAAGTATGCTTTCAAGAAAAGTCTCATTTTAGCATAAAAAATACGTAAGTGGAAAGATTTCCAATAAGTGAGCCACCGAGGTCGTATATTGCCATTTTTCCATCCTTCATTTTATGATTGATTTAAGAAAATTTTTATTGCATATGCTGAGATTGTAGCTGAGGCAGCTCACATAAACATCACCTAACCTGCTTCGAAATCACCAAAGCTGTCTCAAAAAAATCGAGCGTAAAGCGTTTATTTCAAATTATGATCACGACAATGATGATTAGTAGGCGGATGCAATTAACGCATAAAATGATTAATAAGACCTGTTTAATTGAAAAGGCTTCTGCAAGCACGACCGCACCTTCTAGAATGTTCGAATGCATCCGTGGTTACTTGGTTCTACCATATTAGCATGGTGCCCTCCGCAAGTTTTGACTCAAATTGAGCATGTAAAAATTATTTATATTTAGAGTTCCTACAATAGATATGAATAGTTTCAAATTTGTTATTGAATGCTTTACATTACCAATACAGATGGGATTTAGTAACTTGACAATAATATCTCTAACTTGCAATAAAAGTATTTTTTCAGGATTTCACCCTCTGCTCAAGAACCCGTTACTGTTTCTATTAAAAAATAATGATAATTAAATCTAACAGTCTCTCTTAACTGGTGCAAATTGTGCCATTGAGTTAAACAGTCTTAATCGCACTAATTCTTAGAATGACATACAGACAAATTAGTTACGCGATTGTTTTATTTATGCCATTTAGTGGAATAACGCCGCATTTACCATTTCTGAGGAGCTTTATAACTAAAGTCTAGCATTGGAGTTTCCTTAATTTTCTGTAGGATTTCAAGAAATAGGGTGATTTATTGCGAATTTTGGCGATGAGTGCTATTTACTTAAACTTAGAGCTTCAGAGTAAAACAAATGAAAAATTTGAAGGGGCTTTATCAAAGAACGTTGAAATGCGATTTTTTAACTGAGCTTTCAGTGCATACTCGAAATATTTAGCTCAATGAGAAATTCATGAGGCGTGTTTCCGGACGCTTCAAGTTGCACTAATAGATAAAATTGAGGATAAAGCCAGCTCACCTCAGTTGTTACTGATATGGTGCTTTAAGATGGTATTCTGGGCTATAAAAAAATTTTCGAAATATTTTTCTTGCATATCATCATAGTTTAACTATTCAAGAATATGTCTACGAGAGGATTTTCCAAAATTCAAATTAGTTTCGGAGATATAAGGATTTTGTTGAGCAGACATACAAATCGGTTGGGCCGCACCAATCGAACAAAAGACATAATGGGTTCTCCGACTACCTAAATCTATATTTCTTAGTAGGGGTGTGCGATAGACTTACCTCCACGTGGTGCACATACCACTACTCATCTTACCCTTTCTGAGACTTTGTGTCTGTTTCTTTTACATATTTGAAACACCCTTCTATTCCCCCTCCTGAATTCTTCTCACTTTGATGTTTCCCCTCCCCTCTGCAAAGCCCGAAGTCAACTAAAGGGCTAATGATAACCATCAAAACGCCTGCCATTTGTTATAAATAATTATTTCTTAGTAAGCCCTTTTGTTCCGTTATATCTATTCATCAATGTATATTTTTTCATATATATTTCACGGCAATTGATTTACGGAACAGGAAAGCACCAGTTTTACGAGTGCATCATCAGCAAAATTGGGGAAATCAAATGATGAAGAAGTAATTATAGATAATAATTACGGCTACTGCGTTTTGGGGTTTTCCACGGTCTTTTCGGCAATTTCTTCGTTTTTTTGTGGGACATGTTATTGCTGTGTGCGTCATCGTATGCCTGCATGTCTGCTCGCCAGGATTGAGAGGTGCGATCGTACAACTCTGTGTGCAGCGACCGTACAAACAGTGGCCAATCTTAACCTCTATTTAACCTAATCCCCCATCCTGATCATGAGTAGCTCCCTGCGTGTACACTTTATCCGCAACACTCGTACTGAATAAACGTGCTCCGTGCTGCACGTCTGTTTCCTTTATAGCTGGGCTATAGCTTAGCTGGTTCTGGGAGTCTAGCTAGATGTAGGAGAATCTGCCATAGAGATTTCTGAGTCGGTCAGGCTTTACTAGTACAGCAATCCGCTACAAATTGGTGACCCTGAGGTGATTGCCAAAGCCTGACTTTAATCGCTCAGCAGAGACCCAATCTCTCACTGGCATCGGGATTTTCTCTCCTCGTCCCTCAATTCCCTTGGTGATCTCTTCCCGCTCGAATGATTATCACCTTACGTCCGCTGCCGTTTCTCACGACAAGTCAGATCCTGACTTCCGCTCAACAGAGACTCAATCTCTCATCGGCGACGCGATTGCTCTTCACATCGCTCTCCTCATCTGATGTTTCCCTCCCACGAACGATCAGCATCTCAACGGCACCCCAACTCTCTCCTTTCACTGGCTATGACTCCCAAGAACGCCCTTAGAAACAGGCAACATCCGGAGCACGTTGCGTTTCGAATGTCTATCTCTTCGAGACTTAAGAACCTAGTCCTTCTACCCTATGTAAATAACAGTCGAAGCACGTTACTCTTCGAAAGTCTACCCTTACAGGTCCCCAAAACTCCAACTCACAACTGCATTTAAACCGGCAAGCCGAGACCAATCGTCAGACAAGCACACGCCAGAAGATTTCGACCATGGATTGTCACAACCAAACATCCGTTCAACAAGAACGTTGAACACCGATCGTTGCATATCGAGGAACATCCATCAGGGTGCTCGTCAGTGGACCAAATACTGCCTCACTCGCTCAGCCGGCAAGGTCTACAAGCATGCACGAAGTCCACAATCCTACTGCCTCTCACTCCAACAATCCCGTCTCAGCAGTTCCAACACCTGTCCCACCTCTACCCAAAACCTTGTTACTCTAAGGCCGAAGATTTACCTTCCCCTCCCAACTAGTTGTTGTTGTACCTTAACTGATTATCGAGCGTTTTCTTTATCTTTCAGCTCCCTACAAACGCTCCAGGGAGGGAGTATTGTGGGACACGTTATCGCTGTGTGCGTCATCGTATGCCTGCATGTCTGCTCGCCAGGATTGGGAGGTACGACCGTACAACTCTGTGTGCAGCGACCGTACAAACAGTGGCCAATCATTAACCTCTATTTAACCTAATCCCCCATCCTGATCATGAGTAGCTCTCTGCGTGTACACTTTATCCGCGATACCCGTCAGTCAGGCTTTACTAGAGTAGCAATCCGCTACAGTTTCGTGTACTACATACAACAACGAGATTAGACTTTTAAGAACGGCTCAACGTGGACTCGGGTCCAAAATTGCATTACAATGCAGTTGCAA